CAGAGTCATTTCAACTGCTCAAAGACAAGTTAACCTGTGCACCCATCTTAGGTTATGCAGACTTCCAGCTGCCATTCATTCTTGAGACAGATGCAAGTAACCTTGGTTTAGGCGCAGTTCTTTATCAAGTTCAGAATGGAAAGAAAAAAGTCATAGCTTATGCCAGTCGCAGGCTTAGAGGAGCAGAGAAGAATGACAAAAATTATAGTAGCATGAAGTTAGAACTTCTTGCGTTAAAATGGGCGGTAACCGATAAGTTTCGTAGTTATCTCTTGGGTTCAAAGTTCACTGTTTTTACTGACAACAATCCCCTCTGTTATTTGTCCACAGCAAAGTTAGGGGCTATCCAACAAAGGTGGGTGGCACAGTTAGCTGTATTTGATTTTGAGGTCAGGTATCGGCCTGGTCGTTGTAATTCTGCAGCAGATGCCCTTTCTCGACAGCCAGCTGTAGCAGCGTCAGATCCATCCTCAGATGCAGAGTTTGACGGTTGTGAGGCTGTTTGTGACAGCCTGAGGGTAGGCACTGAGTTAGGTTTTGAATTAGCTGCTGCAGGGGTAGACCATTGTAGAGTGAGACAGTTAAGAGCTTTAGACTCAGACAATGACTGTTCTTCAGTCCAAAGTAACACCCCCACTCTTCCCAGTTACACCAAAACTGAACTCCAAGCATTCCAATTCTCAGACCCAACTCTTAAAGTTTTGAAACAGCTCTTGGCAAAGAAACAAAAACCCTCCTGGCATGAGAGAAGAAGCCTACCAATGCCTGTACGGTCCCTTCTAAAACAATGGCCCCGGCTCAGAGAAAAAGATGGACTCTTATATCGCGAGGTTGAAGATGTAAACCATGGAAAATATAAACAGCTTTTGTTGCCCACCTGTCTCGAGGAAAAAGTTCTCACATCCATACACAATCAAATGGGACATCAAGGAATAGAACGGACAATTGGACTCCTGAGGCAAAGATGCTTTTGGAATGATATGCATGAGGATGTAGAGAAATGGATTAAAAACTGTCAGAGGTGCATTTTAACAAAGTTGCCACAACCCAAGGTTCATGCTCCACAAACTCCATTCCTTGCTACTCGACCTCTCGAAGTTGTTGCTGTGGATTACACTGTACTAGAACGATCAAGTGATGGATTTGAGAATGTACTTGTACTCACGGATGTATTCACTAAGTTCAGTCAAGCATTCCCTACAAGAAATCAAAAAGCAGACACAACTGCAAAAGTCATACTGAAAGAATGGTTCATGAAATATGGAGTGCCTGAACGCTTACACTCAGACCAAGGCAGACAATTTGAGAGTGCCGTGATTGCTGAATTGTGCAGGTTGTATGGTGTGAAGAAGACACGCACAACACCACAACACCCTCAAGGAAACCCCCAATGTGAAAGGTTCAATAGGACCTTGTATGAACTTTTGAGAACACTTCCCCCTGAAAGAAAACAGCGCTGGCCTGAACATCTAGCTGAACTTGTTTATGCTTACAATGTGACTCCACACTCGTCAACTCGTTACTCTCCCCATTATATGCTGTTTGGAGTTCAACCCCATCTTCCAATTGACGCACTGCTCGGGCAGGAAGAGGAGAAGGAAGAAAGTAAACATACTGACTGGCTCAGAATCCACAAAGAGCGACTTCAGAATGCACATGACCGAGCAAGAGAGTTTGCAAAAAGAAAAGCAGCAGAAAGAATGGCCCGCCAGAATGCAAAAGTTTACTGTCCATCTGTTGAAATTGGGCAATGTGTGTATCTGCGTCATCGTCCAATTGGCAGAAATAAGATTCAGGATGCGTGGTCATCAAAAGTATATAAAGTAATTGATATACAAGGCACGACACACACAGTTGTTCCTGTGAATGGAGGTCCATTAAGGAGAGTGCATAGGTCCAACCTCCGTCTTTGTGTAGGCCCTGTACCACCTCCAAGGCAAGAGACTCGCATACCTCAAGTCTTTCATGAACCCGAAACTGATATAGACTCCGAAACTGAAACCAGTGACATTGACCCTGAATACATGATGGTAGAAAGACTCAATAAGCCAGATACCTGCAGAGACCAAACTGGAAGTGAGCAACTGTTGGAGAGTAACATAAATAACATTCCCAAGGATGTTTTACCTTGCTCCGAGCTGGAGGAACGGCCAGTACCAGCTCCCCGACAGAGGGTAGATCTAGCCCAAAAGATCATGCCTAGGCCTTCTCCACGAAGGAGTACTAGAAAAACAGCTGGACAGAACAGGAATCCATTTAACTTACCTGTGAGTGCTTGTAATAACACAGTGTCTTTCACGCCAGATGTACTGTCTCAGTTGTTAGTTGGTATGGTTCTGTACACCTCAGAAACAAAGGTTGATTGTTAGAAAGTCACCGAGACGTTGACTTCAGGCAGGGGAGAATGTAGCCGGGTCAAATAATAATAGGACGAACGGCAGATACTGTCCCCGGTTTGGTCAGTAGAGGGTGCTGTTACAGCGCGTGTGGTTGGGAGGTG